GCCCCAGGGATATTCAGTGGGCCCAGCTAGGATCCCAGTGGAAGCTCGCTTGCCCTTTCTTTTCTTTTCTTTCCTTTGATTTTTTTCTTTCTTTTTCTTTCCCTCCCTCCCTCCCTCCCTTCATCCCTCCCTCCCTTCCTCCCTTCCTTCCTGATGGAGTTTCTCTCTTGTTGTCCAGGCTGGAGTACAATGGCACAATCTCAGCTCACTGCAACCTCTGCCTCCCAAGTTCAAGCGATTCTCCTGCCTCAGCCTTCCGAGTAGCTGGGATTACAGGCAGGCACCATCAGGTGCGGCTAATTTTATATTTTTAGTAGAGACAGGGTTTCTCCATGTTGGTCAGGCTGGTCTCAAACTCCCACCTCAGGCGATCCCCCCGCCTTGGCCTCCCAAAGCCAAGGATTACAGGTATGAGGCACTGCACCCTCCCTCCCTGCCTGCCTTCCTCCCTTCCTTCCTCCCTCTGTCCTCCACTCTCTTCCTCCCCTCCCTTCCTTCCCTCCCTTCCCAGATCCTAGTCTAAGCTCCAAAGGCTCTTTCCTTCCACTGTTTCCCGTCTCTCTTCCCTTCTCCCTTCTCTTCCTTCCCTTCCTTCTTGAGAGACTCTCTCTCTGTCTCCCAGGCTGCAGTGCAGTGGTGCGATCTTGGCTCCGTGCAACCTCCGCCTCCCAGGCTGAACCAATTCTCGTGCCTCAGCCTCCCAAGCAGCTTGGATTACAGGTGCACGCCACCACTCCTGGCTAATGTTCATATTTTTTTAGAGACAGGGTTTCGTCATGCTGGCCAGGCTGGTCTCGAACTCCTGACTTCCGGTGATCTGCCCACCTTGGCCTCCCAGAGAGCTGGGATTACAGGTGTGAGCCACCGCGTCCGGCCTTTCCTCTGCGTATCAAGTCCTGACCATCACTGCAGCTCACCTGCCATCTGTCATCTGATCGCCTCCCCTGTCCAGAGCCCACCCACGGCTCCCACCTACTCAGAGCAAAGCCATAGTCCCTATGACTGCCCTGTTCCTCCTCGGCCCTCCTCTCACGCCCGTGCCTGTGCCCGTGCGCTCACCTTCCCTTACTTGGCTCTGGTCACACTGATCTCTTCGCTGTCCTTAAAATACATCAAGGACCAGCCTGGGCAACATAGTAAGACCCCTACTTCTAAAAATTATTTTTTAATTAACGGGGTATGGTGGCCCACGCCTATAGTTCTAACTACTCAGGAGGTTGAGGCAGGAGGATTGCTTGAGCCCAGGAGGTCGAGGCTGCAGTGAGTCATTACTGTACCACTGCACTCCAGCCTGGGCAACAGAGCAAGACCTCATCTCTTTCTCTCTCTCTTTTTCTTCTTTTTGAGATGGAGTTTCTATCATGTTGCCCAGGCTAGAGTGCAGTGGCACAATCTCAGCTCACTGCAACCTACACCTCCCAGATTCAAGCAATTCTCCTGCCTCAGGCTCCCGAGTAGCTGGGACTACAGGCAGGCATCTGCCACCATGTCCGGCTAATTTTTTTTTTTTTT